AGCTGGTGATCTTCTGGTCTACTTAACTCATAGATGGGCGTTGGCAGTAGAGTCCAAGAGGGAGGCATTGGCCGTTAGTTTGGACATTGCGAAGGCCTTCGATCGGGTTTGGCACAAAGCGCTTCTTTCGAAGCTCCCTTCCTATGGGCTTCCCGAGAAATTATGCAATTGGGTCACCAGCTTTCTTGCAGATCGGAGCATCAAGGTCGTTGCAGACGGTGCATGCTCCGACTACAAGCCTATTAACGCTGGTGTTCCACAAGGCTGCGTGCTATCACCAACGCTGTTTCTTCTGCATATCAATGATATGTTGCAAGCTGGTAGCATTCATTGCTATGCAGATGACAGCACTGGTGATGCTCTATACACCGGCCGTGCCAATATTTCTCGGGAAAACTTCACCGAGTACCGGAACAAACTTGTGTCTGAAGTCGAGTCTTTGCTGGACAAAGTCTCGGATTGGGGGCGACTAAATCTAGTCCAGTTTAATCCTCAGAAGACACAAGTTTGCGCGTTTACCGCTAAAAAGAACCCTTTTGTCGTATCTCCTCAGTTTCAAGGTACTCCCCTTGTTGCCTCAGCCAGTATCGGAATCCTCAGCGTCGACATATCGAGTAGCGTGCAGTTTCGTGGTCACTTGGAAGAGAAGGCCAAATTGGCCTCTAAAAAGCTTGGCGTGCTCAGCAGAGCGGGACAGTATTTCATGCCGGCTCAACGCCTGCAACTTTACAAGGCGCAGGTTCGGCCTCACATGGAATACTGTTCCCATCTCTGGGCTGGGGCTCCCCAGTGCCAGCTTCTTCCACTTGACCGCATCCAGCGCAGAGCGGCTCGAATCGTCGACGACCGAGTCCTTTCCGATCGGCTCGACTCATTGGCACTGCGAAGAGATGTTGCATCTCTTAGCATTTTCTTTCGCATTTACCATGGGGAGTGCTCTGAGGAATTGTTCGGATTAATCCCAGCCGCCAAATTTCACGAACGCACATCGCGGCAGAACTCCCGATACCATCCACACCATCTGGATGATTGGCGGTCCACCACTGTGCGATTTAGAAGATGTTTTCTTCCTCGCACAACTTCCTTGTGGAATAGTTTACCACCAGCGATTTTTCCGGACCGATACGACTTAGGGACCTTCAAGAAAAGAGCCTACTCCTTTTTAAAAGGCCGGCAACGCATCTGCAATTCCCCTGGTGTTGCGGTTGTTCATGGGCGGCGGTAGTCACTTACCATCAGGTGAGCCGCATGCTAGTTTGCCCCCTCTCCTATAAAAAAAAAAAAAACACTTTTTAGTTGATTGACTTTGTGTGTGTAAATAGTGTTTTTAAATACGTTTATTTTTATTAGTTTTTGACAACATTATGCGGCGATGTAACTTGTGCAATCAAGAACGTGGCGGACATTATGAACATTTTAAAATTTAGGGTTCAATTAAATTTTGCAACTTATATGCAATAATATTTATTTCGTTGAGTTCCACTATCGCGAAATAAAAAAGTGGCGGTAAAAATACCTAAACAGTTTAGTGAGTAAGTTTTTATTTCGTCGCACATGTCAAACGAATCAAAGGCCGTGCCCACAATAACGCTGCCGGCCGCCAACCGCTATGCCACTCTTCCAAGGGGTCAAGGTACGTAGTCTAAACAGAGTGTTTACTTTTACTGAATTTATTTTAATATTTTATTTGTTTGAAAATTTCACTTTTTTTAATTTACGGGTATTACTTGTGGTTTTATTTATTGCATATATATGGATTTCTTACTGTATAAAAACCAAATAACTTGCTAGTTTATTTGGTTTTTAATTTTCTAAGAACTTTCAGTGTCACCCTCGTAGCGACCCGCTCTAGCTTCGCCTGGGTGGGGTCCATTAATGTGGCGTTATTTAGATTTAAGATAATCATTAAAGACCATTTATTTTACTTCATCAATATTTCTATTTTAATAATGTCTCTAAATTTTTCAGATAAAATTTACTAAAGGACACTCCAGGTATTTCTTTATTTGTTCGTAAATTTTTACTAAAATTGGAAAGACAGACAAATAAAAATTTTAAAAATGATTACTCATGTATCAATAGTCTGTAAATATTTTATGCAAAAATATTAACAAACAAAATACATGTAATTATGAAGAAAACTCACAAAATGCGTCTATCTCACAAATTGCAAAACCGCTCTAAATTTTTATTTTGTAGTTTATATAGAAATTGGACTGAAGATATAGAATGTACGAAAAACGCATATCGCAACGTAAAGCGTCTCCCACACAGAAGCGGCTTGCGGTGGAGGCCGCGGTGGCGGCCAGTTGTATTCGCTTGCAATGTAAGTGAGTCTCCAAACCCATGCGGCCATGGCGCGGCCTGCGAGCGGCTGGCCGCTGCCGCATGCTCCGCCCCATTTTCCAACGCGTGTGTGTTAGCGAGTACGCGGTCAGTCAATGGCTGCAGCGCGGTCAGTTGTAAATTTTTACAACAGGCCGCGTGTACCGCGTGAAAATTGTTGCTAAATTCAGAGATTTTAATAGAAACAGTGCAAAACTATCTAGTACTTTATGATAATTCGCATCGTGATCACAAAAGCATTAGTATTAAAACAAAATATATGATAATATTGCTGAATATAATAAAGACTTCGTCACGGTTTGTCATATTCGTACGTCCAATCGTAGCACAGACACCACAGCGAACGGCGCTTTAGGCCGCCACTTGGGCCGCGGTGGTGTGTTGTTACAGCGGCTGCAGCCGCGGCCCGCGGTTAGCCGCCACCGCAAGCCGCTTCTATGTGGGAAACGCTTAATTTTTTGCAGTCTTTACCGGCGGGTATGAGTATAGATAGCGATAGTGTGCGAGCGAGAGGTGAATAGAAGCGACGTCATTTTCAATCCCATTCTTTAACCGCACGAGTAGTACACGCTGTTGCTTTGTCAACTTGCTCAAAGTAAAACCCATCTTTTCACTGACTTTTGTTAATTTTTAAAAAGCTATCTACCTAGATATCAATGTAATAAAAACACACGCGTTTATTTAAGGTTTTATTTTAAATAGGGTCTATTTATTACGTTATGACATTTATAATATACTATAGGCTTAAGCAATACTGAACAAAACAATAGAATTTACACATGAAAAACGTTCCATAGATACGTTACATTTGAATAAATTATTATATTATTTCGGCTTCGTCACGACCCGGTAACAGATTTGATCAAATTAAAATTAAATATATGTATTTACAATTAAAAAAAATAAAACACAATGGCTAATAATCTCAAGAACATAAGATTCAAATTGATTCGATAGAAACTATCGTAATATAAAACTGGTTATCCAAAACACACAGTATCGTGTTTATATTGAGAAGTTATAAAGATTCACAAAATCCTTAAAATACTTGTTACGTAGATTTATTTCTTCAATTCCCATACTAAATGTTAGTCAATCATAAGTGCGTCACATTTTTATCTTAATAACGATGGCAATCATTTGAGAAAGCATTTATTATATTGGATCCAGTTCGTTCCAATATTGGAAGACGTACACAAATTATTGTATTCTGCGGAAAAATGTACACAATGAACTTCAAACATATTAAATAACGTTTCTTAAGAAAAATGCTATTGAGACAAAACTGTGACAAACACATTTCAATTCCAAATATTCGTAGAAACAAACACACTCAACTGAAGATATGTGTTATAATCAGAGTCTTATTTCTTGTATTTAAGTACGATATTGCGTTACAGCATAAACCAGTGCATAAATGCCTATAAAATCCATGTAAATAGTTACTACAAATAAATAGTTTGGTGGATACATACTCCAATACGTGGCATTATTTCAACCATGTCCTAGATCCTCAAAATTTATATTTTGTGTGTTATTCGCTTAATATTATTGATACATTAGTTTTTGCAATAAATAATAAGATAATATATCATTAATATATGTATCCATACAACTTGCAGTTCATAATCACACGGACAATTATATTTCACTAAAATATTTTACAGAATTATTCTAATTTGGAAGTTTCACAATTTTAATAAAACTCAACTTTTAGTAAATACCAGTACAAGTCGCCATTTTCCATTTGTTTCTTCATTAACACGGGTTAAAATAATTTTGTAGTGATTATTATCTTTTTAAAATATGTTTTGTTAGTGATACGCATTACCACGCCTTAATATCAAATGTATTAAATTAAAAAAAAATCCCCTAGTATACGGAACCTTAAATACGTATGATATAAAGTAAAAAATTGGAATAACACCCAGTCTTCTACTACTCAGTCAATATGTTGCAAAACATGAAGTGTTAAAAATTAGGCATGTCCAATGACAAAGGATTTAAAAGTATTCGTTGTTTGACTAAACGCCACTAATTTCTCATATTCTTTAAGAGTTTAGGCGATGTAGCGAGGGTTTCAAATATGAAAGTTAGAAATACGTAGTACAGATTATGGCCGTTACCAACTAATACATTAATAACTCCTTGGTACGTTTTTTTTTTCAGTGGACAAATTACTTTTTAACCTTATAAATTATTTTTCATTTCTTTTAAATCGAAGCGTCAAAAAATCTACCTCAAAGTGAATTGTCCCTGGAATTTATCTTGAATATCGAGAAGTTCGGGGAAATTCAAACGACTCATTCATCACACCAACCCAGTTAAATTGTACCCTTACACCTCACATTACAGTTCATATTCAGTTAACACTGACATCAACATATTTATCAAGAATCAGTTGATAGAAATATTTTATTTATTAGGTGTTTCATGCATTACTAAAATTAGCAGTAACAAAACATCCTTGGGTACAGCCGTACAATGAACCAAATAGATACTAATGTTAGGTACGCTAAGTCTTCATAATTTGTGACTATCGAATCGTCCTTTACTAAATATAACTTGTAAATATCACTTGTTAATGACTAATAGCGTTGTCGATTCATTTGTTTATTATTTACACAAAATTCCGGCTTCAATTCCGAGCTTGGTCAATTTTTTTGTCTCTCCCTCGAGTCCTCTCTGCATACTCCTCTCGGTGGGGAGTCTCGTCCTTTGTGAGAAGCTTTGGAAGCCTTCCGGGACCTTTTAAACTTGGCAACATCGTCACCGAAGACATCGCCCGTCCGCAACGCGGATATGAGGTCGTCAAATTCGCCTTTCTGTCCGTTCGTTAGTGTCCCGTCACGGGAGCTGTCGCTATTTTGATGGCCATTGCAGTCTGTCGCATTATTTGCTTTCCCTAGTGATTTTCCAACGGAACTTAGTAGACTTGATGCTTGTTTACGCTCCATTGTACGTTTCTTTAGCTGTTAGAAGGAAACATATATTAAATTTAGTTCTTGTAAAATATATTATTTTTTATATAGAAATGTTGACAATGAAGCACACAGTCAGTCTACCTGATAGTAAGTGTAAAATAAGGTTATTACACTTCAGGGCTATGATGAAATGCCTCGTTACCAGTAAAAAAGTCTGAAGTAAAATTAAATGCGGTGAGCTTAATAAAATAAATTTTAGTCAGTGAATTACTTGCATTATTATAGGAAATTATTTTACAGCTCATGTATTTTTAACCCATTCTCACACGTCTATTCTGGTCGTGCCCATTACTATCCCATTGGATTATGAGAGTGAGGGAGTAGAGAGTGCACCTATGCTAGCGCGTACATTTCTATAACTCTATAATCCTGTCCTGCGCAGCTGGCTAGTCTCCATTCAGACTAGCCGCAGTGACGGAAATCGGTCTGGAAGACATTACTCTTCAGCACACACTGCAGTTTAGCGGCAGAAAATAGTCATGCACCTAAAGTAAAAGTATTAAACTTTATACGTCCCACTGCTTGGCACATGCCAGGTCAATGCGTGTTGGCGGACTTCACGCATCTTCTAAATATTATTTTTTAATTTTCAGACCTGCAGGTTTCCTAATGATATTTTCCTTCACCAACAAGCATGTGGTATATTAGGGCATTTAAAATAGCAAGTGTCGGCGAAAATCGAACACGGGTTGCTCGCGTTTTATGGCGAGCGCTTATCCCCTGAGTTATCCTCCTCTTCTCGGTCCTGTCACCTAGTATTGTTCTCTAAAAGGTATGAGGATGTCACCTCTTGCTCGTGCCTGGTCCTCCTCTCCTCCTCGTCCCTGCGCCGGCGCGCCGCGTCGCACTCTGCCCTGGCTTCGGCCAGCTGCGTGAGGAAGGCGTCCATGGCACCGAACAATTGCTCGGGCGAAGTGCTCGGCTCCTCGCCGAATGCGTGCGCGCACGCTTCTAAACGGCTCTTCATGTCCTATATAGAAAGTGATGTGATGTGATCAAGGGTGTGTTCCGATATACACTGCGAGCATTGCTCAGTGTTCTCACTGGTGAAAAATTCGTTCCGTTGTGGACTGCCAGTATACTGCCGCAGTACCCGAGGGAATATATACGACGTCATAAATCACCGCCATTTTGTATTGGGAGCATTGGCGCTTTCGAGGTGAATTTCTCTCAGTACTTTGATCACATGATCAAAAAACATAACTGCGCCTAGAGATTAAACAACTTCCACGAATGATTGTTATTATTATTGATTAATATATTCAAATAAAGTCGATCATTAACTTTTGAAAACAACATTCAAATAATATTTTTTCTTGTTCAACAGAAAACGTGTACATGATATATTTTCATTTGAAAACAGTATCCAAAAATGGCGATGATAGTATACTGGACTGCGTTCCGTTTTAAACAGTTTATCAAATTAAAAAGGAACGGCTTCACAGTATACTGAATTGACATCACACATTACACTGGTCACAGTGTATATCGGAACACACCCCAAGTTATTTTAATTTAATATTTTAAGCCTTAATGTTGACGTTAATATCCCATTCCGAGAATTTAATCAGATTTTATTTTGAAAAGGGATACAGCTGAAAATAATACCTAAATTTACTCATATTACCATAATTACAAAGAACAAATAATATTTTTCTGTATATTGCTTGCCTTGGAAAAAATTTAATCTTAAAATGTAAAATAAAGCAAAATGTTTTTTTTTTATTTAGTTGTGATGCATTAAATTTCTGCAAGTTGGCTAACTTTATTGCACACAATTGTGCACTATTATCTTGCCTTGTGCAAATATTCGTCGTGATTGAAATATGGTCTGGTGAGCAATGTTAGAGAGGTGCTACTCTGCTGCAGGTAAGCGTTTACCTGAACATGCGGCTGTACAGGTGGGCCGCCATTTTAGCTGCAGATCACCGCTGCACGGGGTGGGGAACTACTTTGCTGCACTCCACCGTTCATCTGAATGTAGACCTGCACGGGGCGAAGCAGGGCTCTACTCTGCTGTCCCTCACCGTTCACCTTGGCGTGCGAATATACTGATTGGGGCTTTACTCTGCTGCAGGCGGCCGCTCACCTGGAACAGGTCCTCGAGCTGCGTGACGGCGCAGCCGGCGTGCGCGTGGAAGTCGCGCATGACGGGCAGGAAGGCGTCGTGCGGGTGCGGCGCGCGCGGCGCCAAGTACTCCAGCTCGCGCGCCACCTCGCGCAGTCCGCCGCGCAGCGCCGCCACGTCGCGCTCCAGCTGCTCCGCGCACACCTTGGCCGCCGCGCGCACGTGCGGCAGGTCCTCCTCCAGCAGCAGCACGTCCTTGAACTGCACACAAAAGCACACGCACTTTGTTACCTCGGAATTATGGTTATACAATAAGGATGACAATCGACCACACAGTCCGCGTCATGGTAAGTGGATGTCGTGGCCCACACACTAGATATGTATATCCTCAATTAAAAATCAAAACACTGATACGTTGTTACTCTTGAAGAATAAGATGGAATGCATCGTTTCCAAGTAAAGGAACTCCGGTTCTCTCCATTTACCGTACGAATTAATATATATAAATGAATGGCGGTATATATATTTGAGATTATAATCGATTTCAAAAATGCTTGACCGATTAGACAATATTTATTGATTTTTGGAAGCTATAGTTACAGCACACCGACTTCTGTACCGTGTAACCGATTGCCTTAAAAAATACTACATGAAAGCAGGACGACCTCTGCCGGGTTTTACTACTTTATTATAAAAGGAAACGAGTGAAAATTATATGATACGAAAGGTTCTGCGACACTTTCAAAAAATTAAACTCATGTATGTACGTGCTGATAAAGAATTTAAAAACAAACCAAAACCAACAAAATTAAAGTATTTTCATCATATTCATGGCTGAATAATTTAAGATACCATTGCCTTCTCTAGAAAGTGTTACAAAAAAAGTATTGCAAATAAATACTTAGTGTTTTCCTGTAGGTGTTTCCATTTCTTTTAAATTAGGTTTAAATTATAAAAAATTTAAACAACCGCTATTCTACTGTTTTAGGAATTCTATGTCTCAATTTTCTCTGAATAATGAAAATTGTATGAAATGACTTGACGTAAATAAGTCTTTAAAAATTTGCTTCCGTAATGAAGAATTCAGAAAGCTGATGATAATAACATCGGGGGATAACAGTTTGGTGTTGCACCTACTGGTGGGTACCTGTGTACGACTGTGTCATAATAGTTAAGAAATAAATCAGTGTGTTACTTGCAAGCAGTAGTTTCACTCGCGCCCCCTATAACGCATACTTACCACCTACATAATATGTTTGTCTACGTTCTAAATTTAATTACACCACTCGATAGCGAAAGAATTGAAAGAGGAGATGAACTTCGTTCCATACAAGCTTGAGCCCGGCGTGAACAAAGTTCAAATATAGCTTATTTTGAAGATATAAACATTTGTTACTTATGACAAAAAATCATATTTTTGTATGTCCTGGGGTTTGGTTTTTATTTTGTTTTATTATTTGTAGGTTATGTAGGAAAATCACTCGTTCTTGGAATAAGTTGCTTCAATAAATTGAAAAGAACACAAAGGGATGCCGTTTTTTAGTTATTATTAAATAAAATAAAATAATATAAAATAAAATACAACTCAAACTTTTCTAATTGTTTAATTATTTTATGCAACTATTAAGAAAATGTTATCTAGAAAAGTAGCCTGAATCTGTACATTATTTGTTCTATTCCTCTCAAAACCCAAGTAACACATTATTGTCATTATGTGGGCGCAACAACCTACTGTCCTGTAAATCGAGGGAAAAGCCAAGGGTCAGGTTAAATTCATCATCATCATTACAGCCCTTCACAAGTCCACTGCTGAACATAGGCCTCCCCCAAGGAATGCCACAAAGCACGGTCCTGAGCCACCTGCATCCATCGACTTCCTGCATATCTTACCAGGTTGTCACTCCATCTAGTGGGGGGACGCCCTACACTTCGTCCGCCGGTACGAAGCCGCCACTCGAGAACCTTTTTTCACCAACGGTTGTCGGTTCTTCGAGCTATATGGCCGGCCCATTGCCACTTCAGCTTACTAATCCGTTGAGCTATGTTAGTCACTCTGGTTCTACTACGGATATCCTCATTTCTAAGTTTATCACGCAGAGAAACTTCGAGCAGAGCCCTCTCCATAGCTCGCTGAGCGACCTTGAGCTTCCTCATACGGCCAGCAGTAAAGGGCCACGTCTCAGTACCATAGGTCATCACTGGCAGCACGCACTGGTTGTACAGTCTTGTTTTCAAGTTTTGAGGTATACCTGACGAGAAGACGTGCCGTAATTTCCCGAACGCTGCCCAACCGAGTTAAATTCGTCGATTGACCTCTCGGTCGAAGTTGGACTTACCTGTTTTTTTTACATGGGGAAGAAATGCCTACACATACACGCCTCGCGAGGGCAAGGACGGGTTATATCGGACTCGCACCGACTAAAACCCCATGGTGTTCCACCTTCGTCGCACATTGGCAGGGCCACGGGAACGCTTTCGCACACATCCGCGGCCCCACCTGCGCTGGACTACTCCTCCCCCATCTATCTCTCAGGTAAGGCGCACCAGAGAACATGGCCCGCCCTCCTCCTCGGCTTCCAATTTCACATGCGCAACGGACGCCCCAGTGTCCGATGTGCGAAGGCCATGGGGCCAGGAAAAACTAGCACTCAGAAGCACCAGCCTCCCTGACCCCAGCGGCGAATCTGGTCTATGGCTCCGCCGCCAACCAACATTCGGCTGCGGAGGGTAGGGAGAGCGGCGAACTATTTGTCTTTTGATCTTTGTTTTGTCCATGTTCATCTTAAGACCTATCCGTTGGGAACCATTTGAGGTCATTGAGCATAGTGCTTAGGTCCTCCAGCGATTCTGCCATAAGGACTATATCGTCGGCAAATCAAAGTTGAGTGATGTACTCGCCATTGATGTTAATACCGTAACCTTTCCAGTCCAGAAACTTGAAAACGTCTTCCAATGCAGCGGTGAAGAGTTTCGGGGATATCACGTCACCTAAGACAGGGACAGGACCTCTCTGCAATTGGATAGGTTTCGTACTCTGGTTCTGTACTCGGATAGCCATCGTAGCCCTACTGTACAAGCACTTCAGCACTTCGATATATCGACAGTCAACTTGGCACCGCTGAAGGGACTGCAGCACCGCCCACATTTCGACGGAATCAAAGGCTTTCTCATAGTCCACATGCGCCAGACATAGTGGCAAATTGTACTCCTCGGACATCTGTACAATTTGCCGAAGGGTATGTATGTGCTCTATGGTGCTAAAGCCTTTTCGGAAACCGGCTTGTTCGGGGGGCTAGAAGTCGTCAAGTCTGCGCACAAGACGATTCGTAATGAGTCTCGAAAACATCACGTAGACGCGGCTCAGAAGGAAATTTGGTCTGTAGTTCTTCAAGAGAGCGTTGTCACCTTTCTTGAAGAATAAGACCACCGCACTTCTGCTCCACGCCTCCAGTGTGGTGTAGTGCCACCATGGAGGACGGAATTAAAGAGCTTCTGAAGGACTTCAAGTACCGGTTTTCCACCCGCTTTCAAAAGCTCCGCTGTAATTCCATCCTCGCCTGGGGCCTTGCCGTTTTTAAGGTACTGGAGAGCCATTCTCATCTCGCTCAGACTGACGTTCGGGATATCTTCGGAATAGTGTCGGATAAGACGCTCTTGGATCAATACTCACACTTACGTGTGGCTCCAACGATGATGTGTACAGTTGCCCATAGAACCTCTCAATCTCACTCAAAATCTCAGGTGTCCCGGAAACGACGCTGCCACACTTGCTCTTCAGCTTCGACAGTTGGCTCTTTTTGGCAGACAGATCTCTAGCAAAGACTTTGGAGCCCTGGTTCCGCTCGATCGCTTCTTCAATACGAACAGTATTAAAGTTGCATAAGTCCCGCCGCATGCATTTGGAGATCTGTCTGTTCCGTTGCCTATATGCTGTCAAATCTACTGAAGACTGCAGCTTCATATCCCGTCTAACAGCCATGAGATTAAGAGTGTGATCGGAGAGTTTTTGTGTTATTCTGCGGCGGGTCTTGCAAAACTTAGCTCCGACCGCATGGACAGTTTCCACGAGGTTGTCATTCATATCGTCCACTGCATTGCAATCTTCTAGGCACTGAAAACGGTTTTGTATCTCGAGCTGAAAGGTTTCGGGACTTTGGATTAGAGCACGAGGGGGACGGAGCGTTGACTTCATTAGACGTGACCTCTCCAACTTAACGTTTAGGTTCAGTGTGCCTCTCACCATTCGGTGATCGCTGCCGGTTTTCACCCTCGCGATCACTGAGACATCACTGAACAGTTGTCGTCTGGTCATCATAATAAAGTCAATCTCATTGTTTGTCGAACCGTCGGGGCTCGACCAGGTCCACTTCCTGTGGGGCCGCTTCTGGAAGAAGGAGTTCATTATAAAGAGTTCCTCTTTCTCCATGAAGTCGGCTAGCTGCTGGCCCCTTGGGTTCCGTTGCTCTATTCCGAAATTCCCTACTTTCAGCTCACCGTTTTCTCTTGTGCTTAGTTTCGCGTTGAAGCCTCCCATTAACACCGTATAGTGGGTTTTGGAGGAATGCATGGCTCTAGAGATACTCTCATACATTTCCTCCACCTCCTCATCGGGGTGTGCCGAGGTTGGTGCGTAAACCTTGAATAGCGGGGCCGCCGGGGACTGGGGGCCGTCTCTTCGTTACTTTCATGGTGGGTATATTACCACAGTTGCCACGCTTGGCGAGCGGGTTGGCAAACGCAGTTTTTTTATTGTTGTTTTGTTGTTATCAGAAAGATGCTGCTGCCCATCCTCTGCGTCAGTTTCCCTCTGTCGCCTTTTACGACACCCACGGGAAGATATGGGCTAGTGAATTTTCTTACCCGCCACTACACGGGGATAAAAACACGAAATACAAACACAACCAAAATGCCAAAGCGCATGACAAGCTCGAAGTTACCAAGTCTCCTTCGAAACAGGCAATGATCAACGAACATACAGCCTATTCAATCGTGTCCGATATTATTCAAATATTATGTTTAGTTTAATAACGTAGCGTATTCAATCGATTTTCTAAATAGATTTCTTTTATTTAGTATTAATTTCTACAGGTTGGCCTCAATGTTTCAATATTATGAGTTTTTTGATACTGAAGGCTATTTATTACAAAAAATTGTCTTCATCGTCTAATGCCATAGACAAAATATATAAAAATATTTAAAAACGTTTTGTTTTTGCTATGGTAAAAGCATTAGCTTTCTTTTTTCAGTTTTAAAAATGTTTTTATGATTGTCCCATACATTACAGAAATAAAAACCATTTAATTATGTTTATAATTTATCGTTATATTACCTACATATTTTTGTATAACTGTTACAAACGATGTCAAGCATCCAATTTCATACATCTCCTTTGGTGCGTTGAGTGCGGACTATGACGCATCGCGTGTGGCAGTTCACGGAAAACACACGACCGTGTCCACGACGCAGCCACACCCCGATTGTTTTTTTTTTTAAATACTAGTAATGCTATTAACGCAAAGACTTTTATGTATACTACTAGACGAATGCTACGATACTGATACATTGCGCACTAAATTACGCTTAATTCACCGTTACTTATTTAATCGACTGCGAGCAGACGAGAAGACAAATTCCTTATATAGTTAACCGAAAACGCTGTCATTATTTATGTACACACTTTGTCCACGTAATTTAAAGTTTAAGCCTCAAAACAATTTGTCGTAAATGTAAATACAACTGCGTGCCAGTTCCCATCCAACCGGCGCTCGCACTCGTGCGATCCACAGCTGTTAACACCAATTTTTGTACTGATTTTCCGATCTAGTAATATATGTACATACAAGTCTTTGTGTGGACACATGCACGTACGCTGTTCATTAAAAAAAAAGAATACTAATAAGGGAACTTCATCGGTGAAGTAGTGTGCTCCTGCATTATTGTTAAAACAATTGTTTGAAATAGATTTGAAACAAGTGCTCCAATGATAATGTGAACTTGTAGATAATGGTATCTGCTTAGGTGTTCTACAATATCGTCATCAACTGCTGGCTCAAACTGTCGTCAAAATCTCTCAAAAACTTCACATCATTACAAGTAAAATCACGGTGAAGTATAGCATTAGGTCTTAAAGTCATAATATTATCTGGATATAACATAACATATTTCGCTTACAAAACAGATATCTGTTTTCCTTAAACAGATACCGGACGAAGTAATTTTCGCCGTTCTTTTTTAAATCCTAGCTTACAAAGTAACTTGTAAAATATCTAAAATGCATAGTCTCTAGATAGAATGTCTAAAGGCATAGTCTATAGAAGTTCTGTGTATTTTAAAATTAAATTTACCTGTGTCTCGAGCAACTCGACTAGAAAATGTAGCAGCGTTGTGTTTCGCGTCACACTTGACTTGGTGTCGGCCAGTTTGTTGAGTGACGTTAATCTGAAGCCGGACGCATTGCCGCGAGCACCGCTGGAGACCAAAAATAAAAAGTGTAAGTGATGTGTTTATCTCACTAGGTAGTAGAACTTCTCACGCTAGGAGTAGATGCCACCCTCTTACTTATTTTTGCCGCCAAGCAACAGTACGTGCACTGCTGTGTGTATAGACTATATAGAGACTATAATTATAGGCTATGAGGCATTATCTTAGTTCTCAGAGATTACAGAGCAATTTGTAGCCGTCCTCAAGTGGGTTGCAGGTATCCATGAGCTGCAGTAGCCACTTACCATCAGGTAGAATATAAGTTAATTTTTCACTTAAGTTTAATAAAAACACACACATACAGGTATACGCACTCGTCAGTCCCCTTGCGTATATGCACGTTTTCTGCAGCGTAAGCTTCAATTTTACATGGCAGTATTATATTGTAATTAAATCCATCGTCATCTCGACTGATCCGACCCGACTGGTTCGTTCGAGTTCAAACAATAGTAGCACCTTGAAGCCTGAGGGTTTAAGCTTTTTTTTATAGGATAGGGTGACAGACGAACACACAGTCCACCTGATGGTAAGTGGTTGTCTTGACCCATAGACATCTACATCTATCTTTAATAAGGACTCAAGATGCAGATGCGTTGTCACCCGTGAGGACTAAGATGGAATGCCTCTTTGCCCGTAAAAAGGGTCTCCGGTTCTCTACATTCATCATACAAAACACAGCAGCGTTAAGCTGCTATTTTACACTGGTTTTCTGTGAGAGCGTGGTCCTTCCCCGGTCGAGCCGACGCATTCGTGTTATAACTATACTACTAATATAGCTGCAGTATGGCTCTACCATGTAAAAACCGTTTTACAATGCCCACTAAAACCGTATTTTTTGCAGTGGAAAGAAAAGAGTAGAACTATCGACGGGTGTTTAGCCCGGGGAGCAACCACCGTTCCGTGATATTGTATACTGTTATATACTATATAGTAATTTGGAACTTCCATAGCATGATTCTAAGCTTAGGTTCGTTTCGTCTACGGCGCGACGACAGCGCCATTACAGCCTTTTATGTATAAGGTTGGTTGTAGGTGTCAATGAGCAGTACTTTTTTACGATAAGAAGAACTGTCAGATCGTTTGTAATTGTAATATTATGGGATACAAGACTCAACTCTTTTAGGGTTCATTCAAATGAGCCCTACCTTTGAGACCGATAGTCCAAATTCAAGGCCAAGTGTTTCACGGTGTACCTAAGGGATTTAACATTTGGAAAGAGAAGTGGTTGGTGGTGGAAAGTTACCGGTTCATGTAGTTCCCTAAGGCCAGTACGATTTCCAGCAAGGCTCGGAGGCGGCGCGATCGGGTCATGTCGCGCGCGGCGCGCAGCACCACCGAAGCACGGCTGGTGGCCTCGGCCGCCGCGCCCGCGAACTTCTTCTTGAACAACAGCGTGCGGACGCGTTCAGAGTAGTGCGGTATTCTGCAAATACAAACAGAACATTTTTTTTTTATTAATATAGATTATTTACCACTCAAACCAAAAGAAATTTCTTGGTGCGCCTTCGCACAAGGCCATCATTGCGAACAATTTGTTGACCAAAAACTCAACAAATACCATCGAGCAACCACCTTACTCATCAGATATAGCTCCAGCAAACTCCTTCCTTTTTCCTAAACTCAAATTACCACTTCGTGGCACTCGTTTTCATTCGGTAGAAGATAAAGGAAAATTCGTAGCGAGAACTGAACTTAATTCCGTAAAGCGTTTGAAAAATATTTTGATGATTGGATTATTCGTTGGAGAAAGTGTATCGTTTCTGATGGAGCATGCTTTGAAGGTGATAAAATAAACTTTGATGAATAACTAACATTTTGTGTATTATTGATCTTTTCCCGGTACTTTCTTGACAGAGTAGTATATTTATTCTTGTACTCTGTACCTGTATCTTTATCAATGTATCGTTCCCAAATTAACTAATTTAAATTTTTTAATAAATAAACTATAACTACAAATAAAGAATACAGATATTTCCAGGCATATAATTTTAAAATCAATATTTTTTAATGTTTTTCGTTACGTACAAGCTTAGAGCGAGAAAAGATCGATTTCACGCTCAGTTTAGGACATACGTCATCAAACGACGTAATAATCGCCCTTCTACAAAATGACCAACAGCCTTAAGGAATTTACGCAGGAATCGAAAAATGCAGTTAAGTGCAAAGCTACACATTTAACATTCGTAAGGCGTCACTCACTTGGAAATTTCATAAAGGAAGCGGTCGGCACGCGCCATATTTTCCAGTTCGTCTTGATGCTCTTCCAACAACGCGGCTTCTTCAGCGCTCGGTGTGAACTTCAACAACTGTTCGACCATATCGATTGGCAGCTGCTCGTCCTTGTCCATACGCAAGATCGCTCTGAAAGGTAAGATGGTGGTTGTTTTAAACAAAAAAAAAATGTTTTTCCTTGAAGTTTTGTATGCACAAGGGTGTCAAACAAGCACAGAGTCTACCTGACGTTAATTGGACGCCGTGACCCATTATAGACCTACATTTACGATGAGTTTTGTAATTGTCGTGGGTAATGTTTTAGCTTATAATGTATATTATCTATGTAATAATTATACATTACTGTTAGACTCTGCTATGTTTGTATCTCAGACCAACAAAGAAAGATAGACGAAGCGCTTCGTACATTTCAAGTGATGCCGAAACCATGCTCAACTTTTTGACTCATACACTTATCTTTATTCTTTCTTTTATCAGCCCATAAAAGTCCACTATTGGACGCACCGTGTTGTTGGTTGCTTGATAAGACCCATGTGAGATACGATTATATGTGCGTGATTTATAATAATAATGGAAGAGGTTTCATAGATATAAAAAATCTTCATAACTCTCAAATTTCAGCTATTCGAAACTTCTTCCATCAACAAGCCAATAATAGTCCGCTTCATAATGCTGTTGTCCAAGCCGATACTAAACTCACTCCTTTAAACCTCAAAGATCAAAGAAAACAAAAAAATGAAAGTATTATCTCTGCACAAGATAAAATTAACAGCTGGCTGCAGAAGACGTTACATGGAAGACACCGTCGCGACTTGATGAACACACACGTAGACAAGATAGCGTCTAACATGTGGCTCAAGCGCGGAGAACTCTTCCCTGAAACGGAAGGCTTCATGTTAGCAATTCAGGACCAAACTATACATACTCTAAACTACAGGAAACACATAATTAAAGACCACACTCTACAATCAGACCTTTGCAGCATATCACTGGTGCCTGCAGCTCAATAACCCAGACCGACTATAAACACAGACACGACCAAGTAGCTGCCATTATTCATCAATACCTCGCATATAAATATAATCTTATAGATGAAAAAATAGCATACTATAAATACAAGCCCGAAATCATACTTGACTCTCGTGAATTCAAACTCTACTGGGACAGAACTATATTAACTGATAAGACCGTGCATTATAATAGACCGGATATTACGCTACATGACAAAAAAAAATGAATCAGTTTATCTTATAGATATTGCTATACCAAATACGCACAATTTGACTTCCACTTATAATGAAAAAATAGCCAAATACACTGATTTATCCATCGAAATAAAATCCCAGTGGAAAGTAAAAACTGTAAAAACTGTACCTATTATAATATCTGCAACTGGCGTCATTCCCCGTTCACTTTTTTCTAGCTTAAAGGATCTAGACATCCATAAACTTACCTTTATATTGCTGCACAAAGCAGCAATATTGAATACGTGTAGAATAGTCCGTAAGTTTCTGCCTAAAGATTAAACATTCAACCGAGTTCGTTTGGCCAACAGCTCGCGAATAAGGTATAATACCTCGGAAACGAGAGAATACTAAACAGAAAGAATAAAAATGATAATAATAATAATTCATTTAATAGAGACAACACAGATCCATTACAAAATTAAAATTATTTTTTTTTATCTATACCTTAAATTTTAATTATAATTATTGGTTAATCAATGATATTATTAAATTTTATTAATAACATTTTAATAAATATGACCATCTACTAAAAATTTCACTACATGCACAAAATAATTTTGATGAGATTATTCTGCGACCCAAAAACAAAACTTCTAAACCGCGCGATACGGTGACGGATCAACGCATCCAAACCAACGACACGGGCCTCTGCGAACATCTGAGACGCGCTACAGTATCGTGGCTGACGGAACAACACGCGGAACGAATCATTATACTACACCTTCAGCCTGCGATATTCCTCTTTAGTGTAATTCGTCCACAGCTGAGGAGTGTAAAGTGGCTGACAATAAGCTGAAAACAACGCCAGCTTTGAGGTATAAGAACACCAAATTTGATACTTGTTATGTTATTTGTTTTCTTATTATACAATAAACGGTATTTTGTTGTAAGTTAAACTTGGTTTTGGCTTGGTTTTAGCGTCACCATTGCAACGCTCCGTCTAACTTTATATGTTAGTCTGAGGTTTGTGTATAGTATGCTACTTACCGACAAATTTCTTCATCAGTCATCTTGAGTTTGGAGAGCAGTATCGTACAGTTCTGAGCACGTCGACCGTCGATTACGGTGAGAATTTTAGTTCTTGGTTTTGAACCCGTTTGCCTTAGATCTTCAACCGATCCATCATTCTGAAATTAATTTTTATATTTGAAATAAATTAATTTCTTTGCACGTGTGTTTGTGACTGAACTTCTCCTAAACTTTTAGACTGATTTTGATGAATTTATTGTGTGTGTTTTCAATGGGTCCCTGCATGGCAGTTTAGTTCAGCAATTCAAAATTGGAGGTAGGTTTCGCTGTTGTTACATTTAGAAATCACTCATGCGAAGCCCAGGTAAATCGCTAGTTTTTTTTATATATTACAAATATTTTATATACTTACTACAAAAACCATAATTATATTAGTGCTTTTACCCTTTAAAAAAATTCTCGAAAATGATCTGGAGTAACTTATTGGTTGTTTTTTAAAAATAGCTTTTGTTGTTGAGATGTAATTTTAAGCTTGCGACTGTTTTACATTCATTGTTTTAATCATATGTATTACTACGTAGTTGTACGTAACGTGCATCTACACTATTATATATCAATATAATATGAGTGTGCCTTATATTGTGAATGTTTAGAGGTATTATATAAACAAAACTTACATGAACGCCGTTCTTCTGGTATGCGCAGAACATCCTGTCGATCGTGTGCAGATCGATGGCCGAGTAGAGGCGCGTGTCGTCGAGCTCCTGCCATATGGTGCCGTGTAGCTTGGCGTCGGGCAGCTTGCTCCAGTTGAAGCTCTTGAGAGGGTTTCCGGGCGTGGGGACGTTCTTCTTGGGGCGAGGCGCGGGCGGGGGCGCGGGCGCGGGGGCGGCGGGCGGCGCGGGGGGAGCGGGCGGCGCGGGGGGCGGCGGCGCAGCGCGACAGCTTGGCGGCGGCGGCGGTGGCGGCGCGCCGCACAACTCTATCACCGCGCTCTTCAAGTTGCTCACCTGCCAGTGGTATTTATATAAAGAAGAGCAAATTTCTCCAGACCGATTTTCGAAAATCCGGAAGACATTATTTGGTATGAAATTGGCTGAATCAAGTACGTGTGAGTACGTGCGTGAGTGCGGCCTATAAAGGATATTTGCTTAGCCTAGGGGTCGTAAACGCGATTGCTGATCATGAGGTCCCGGGTTCGAATCGCAAATCGGGCCAAAAGTCAGTTACTGGATTTTTTTGTCGAGAAATTCTCAGAAGCAGCCCGGAGTCAGAAAGTTAGAGGTTATTCACCCCGCCTCGGAAAGCACGTAAAACCGTTGGCCCTACTGTTGATCTCTCTTCGGTCGTATCGGTTATAAGATTTATCCAACGTTTAGATACTCGCCAAGCACAGACGAGTAGGCACGAGTACGAACAAGTAAACACCTTGTTCGGATTTTCGCGCTACTCGGCCTGAGTATTCGCCTATTCTTCACACGATATCTGTTTTAGCACGAGTTAAAGGAACGCTCGTGTGTATAGTCTGTTCGCTTAGATAGAGTCGCCTAAGTGTCGAGCCGCCTTGGAACGTGCCGCATCTTGTCAAAGACGCCGCCGCGACATCAAAGAATTTGCCATTTAAAAACGAAGCACCGTAGTGAAAGGTTCTTTGCTACCTAACTTATATCTAACCATAAGAATAAAATAGTAATTCTATTTTAAAAGAATAGATAAACATATAATTAACAAACACAAAAAAAAAGTAATAAAATAAAAGCAAAATTATAAGTGCGGCTCCGGGTGTACCAACACTATCTTTTTTTTTTATAGGATAAGGGTGACAAACGAGCACACAGTCCACCTGATGGTAAGTGGCTGCCGCGGCCCATAGACATCTACATTTATCCTCTATTACAAATCAAACTGTAGATGCGTTTTCACCCGTGAGGACTAAGATGGAATGCCTCATTTCCAGTAAAAAGGGCCTCCGGCCACCTGCACACACCAAGCGAAACGCAGAGGTAAACCTCTACTTTACGCTGGTTTTCTGTGAGGTCATGGCACCAACCCGGTTCGAGCCGGCCCATCCATGCTACAGCAAAAGCTGCCGCGTGGCTCTACCACTGTTTATCTTACTGAACAGACTAAATTCGTAGCGGTGTTCGTAACTTTGTCGCAGGTTGTTATTATTTTTCTTTTAAAAAAATTAAAAAATAATAATAAGAAAATACCTATGTACAGTGATGGATTGGAGTAACAAATTTACTACTTTTATAGAATATCAAGGAAAACCCGCCGAATGGGTCCTAGAAATCGGTTATAAATAAATATTAATAAAAATAAATATTTCATCATCATCATCACCTCGTCATCTAGTGGTAGGCCGCCCCAAACCCCCAAATAAATATTTGTTCGTTTCTAATTATTAAATAGACATAAATTAGTAACAACGAGACGCACTTCCATCATGTTTAAAAGATCTACGTTCAATAAATACCGACGAATATCTAAACGCGCCGTACTCGTGGACTAGTGGATTATTTGCCATTTGGCAACCGTATTTTCTATTATTAATTAATAACAATGATATTATAATAATAAATTTTATTTATTTACCAGAAAACATTTAGCCAAAATACAAAATGTGTTGTTATCGAAAAGATGTCAAAAGGTGTAAAAATACAATGTAGTGTACAAATAATTTGTATGTGAAATGCACACTACACATTATAGGAAAAACTCTAGTTACACAACACACTTCTGATAAGTTGACTGTAAACTCGACTGGTCACCCTTCACTATCTATAGTATAAAAAAACAATCTTCGCGCTTCTTTAAAAATACATTCGAATTCAGAAAAGGAAACAGGTATGTCAATAGAGAGGAAGAAATACAGATTTATGATTTACAGAAAGAGCCGGAGATGAGTAATGAAATAAAGGGAACAAAGCGGTATTGCTCTGAGACTGCGGAGAATGAAATATTTAATATAGAAGATACTGTACTACTACGAAATTATATAGGACATTCTTGGAAATATTATGTTGGATAATTGAACATATCAATGTAGCAGAAACATTATAAATGTTTAGGCCAAATCTTAACATTTAAAACTTGCATTCAAAACGCTCGTCTCGGTCGCCTGACGTGTGGGCTACCAACCGGTTTTAACGGCTTGGGCCGGCGGGACTCGTTTTGCCCGCGGGGGCCGTGTCCTCGCCAGTCTAAAAGTTACGCTCGAATCGTTAGGTCGCGTGAATACAGCCTCTTATTGCGTTGTCTTTGTCGTGCGTTTACGTGACAACGTGGCTTTTCTTGACTTTTGAAACGCTAAAAATTTGTGACCCAAGAGGAGATCGCGTTCGTCTTCGATTATAATTTTGTGCTAAGTGACGTTAGACTTGAGTTCACATATAGGTGAACGCCCACTGGATTGATCGCACATTGTAGAGCAGAGCAGCGCATGTGGCTCTGCTGTCCGATTACATCGGTGATGTCAGGTTACATTTACACACTTTCGCACACCACTTACACTCTCCTACTTACCACCTGACGGTATTTTGTGGTCGACCCTACCTCCGGAACTCGGTAAGTTTGTGTTTGCTTATCAGTCATTACATAATAATTATCCATAGGCCATTTGGGCCCGAACCCTCTGGTTGCCCGTCGAGTGGGCTACTCATGGGCCCTAGTCCAGTCGACTTCTGTCGAGGCAACTGAGGGCCGTAACAATAAGCAATATCTATTTTAAAACTATCGGTAAAAAAGACAAATTAAAGTTCCGTACCCAAAGATTTAATTGTAAAACATATTGAAATGCTTCAAATATCGGAACACCCCGTTGAATATGTATTATATTATTGCGACGAAGATCTGATTTATTTTTAGTAATATTAAGTTAAAAAATTGGCTAAATTTAAATGAAAAAAAATATAATTAATCAAGTAATGGTGTTTTATTGATAATTTGGGAATTATGTTGGTAGAGTCATAATTCACATTTCACACACATACACATAATGTCACTTGACCACAAACTGACAATATAATTCTAGGAGTATTTATCACAACCCTTTTTTTCTATACGTAGTAGGGTAATCAGTAATTCGGAATAGTTCAGTAGTCAGTGTACACTTGGCTTAGTAGTTACAATTTAGTAACAATTACAACGATTTCGGAACTTTTTTCGTAACTACAATTTCGTTACGTACAATTATTTTGTAAAACATCCACAAGGGATATTTGCTTAGCCTAGGGGTCGTAAACGCGATTGCTGATCATGAGGTCCCGGGTTCGAATCCCGAATCAGGCCAAAAGTCAGTTACTGGATTTTTCTGTTGCCCTACCGTTGGCCCTACTCCTGATCTCTCTCCGGTCGTATCGGTTATAAGATTTATGCAACGTTTAGATACTTGCCAAGCACAGACGATTAGGCACGAGTACGAACAAGTAAACACCTTGTTCGGATTTTCTCGCTACTCGGCCTGAGCATTCGCCTGTTCTTCACACGATATCTGTTTTTAGCACGATTCAAAGGAACGCTCGTGTGTATAGTCTGTTCGCTTAGATACAGTCACCTAAGTTTCGAGCCGCCTTGGCACGTGCCGCATCTTGTCAAAGACGCCGCCGCAACATCAAAGAATTTGCCATTTTAAAACGAAGCGCCGTAATGAAAGGTTCTTTGCTACCTAACTTATATCTAACCGTAAGAATAAAAGGAAAGGAAAAGGAAACAGGTATGTGACACATTACGAAATAAAATCGTGAAATCATGTAGATAAATCACAAGTACTGACCTTGGCATCATCCGGTATGCTGCCCTCACTGACTAGTTTCTCGAACCTCGATCTTTCAGCCCTCTCGTGACTCAGCTGCAAATCGAAATAAGTCTTTTTTAATTCTCTATTACTTTAGATCCCTAAGTCGAAAACCCTAAGTCTTATGAATTTATTTATTTTCCTTTACATCAATGAAAAACCCGTTAAATAACAATACAGATTAAAAATGCAATTCCCCACTAACGGGGAATCATGCAAATCACATCAATAACTAAGTTATAAATAGACTGTAGGGTGCTGCATACATCAACGTAAACATGGAAGCGCTCGTACGTCAAATATAACGTTCAAGTCAGGTATTTGTTGAGTGACAGGAGATGGGCAGCCGCAACTTCCTGATATTGTCTCAAAATAATGAAAAAAACTGCGGCTGCCCCGCTTGACAGGCATCCGCCTGTATTATTTTTTACGGCAAATATCCTCCTATGAGGCATTATGAAGGAGGCCTAGGTTTAGCTGTAGACTTTTGATAGGCTGTAATAATGATAATCGTGTATGTTACTCAGAATGTAGACCCCAAACCAACTTTTGTGTCATCACAAATATACTGATGTGATTTTTTTGTTTTGTTTTTTGTTTTTTAAAAAAAAACGTCACCCCCACACTAGGATTTTCTCCTGTGTCGTGGAGGCAGTTTACAAACATAAATTGCACAAGGACAAACATCCAGACCCGGAACAATTATTTGTAGGCCATACAAATACTTGTTCCGTGCGGGATTCGAACCCACGGCCCCCAGCGCAACAACTCATTGGCTAAGCCACTGCGCCACGGAGCCGTCCTACTATTGGGACTACACCCGGAATTCACGATTTAAAAAGTTAATAACCTGGCAAATAAGTAACGTAATCGTGTAGAGATACGGTACATGTTTAAACTAAGATAATAAATCCAAAGAGACGTGGTAAATATTGTTTTAAACTTTCAGGTAATTCTTATTTTTTAACAAACAAAATCTAAGTGTCTATAAATTTAAAACGATTTATACTAATGGTTTAACTCTCCTTCAGGGTCCTAAAAGGCTATGGAGCAGTAAGTGCGCCGAGTTGACGGATTCAATGCGTTTACATCATGTATTCGAATTAATTTAAATAATAATATTTAAAATAATTTCATACACGTTTCTTCGCGATGTTTTCCTTCACCACCAAGCAAGCCTTGAGCCTTGAGCTATCGAGATCGTCACATGTCACTATCTCACTAATGAAATCACTAAATAGTAGCCCAAATACTAACCGTACTGTAACACACCTAGATTGGTACAGCATAGCGTTTTTAACGCTATTGTGTGCAAGAGAAAAGGACAGAAACATTAAATAGCTCACATTATTATTAACGTAATAAGTGTTCACGTTTTTTTCTGTATCGTTGACCTTCCCTTAGTTCGTTTTCACTCCTATATTATCTAAGTCAATTTTGGAATTGGTTTTTATAATATTCTAATTCAATATTTTAGAGACTAAACTGTGTACACCAGAAAACCCTGATTAAAAAACAAGCCGCCCACCTCGTAGCTTTTCTTCTTAGCGTTCCACATTCCCTCCGTTACCTGTTGCTCCAGCTGGTGCGCCCTCTCCTTGCATTCCATGTGTGTGGCCGTCTCTCTCTCCAGCCTTTCCTTCAGTCTGTTGACGACTCCCTCCAACTCCTCCCTTTCTTGAGTCTGCTCGTCCAGTTGCTTCTCCTGTTGGTAAGCGTTATCACGTGCGCATGGGGATGCAGAATGGTCAGTTCCTTTACATGTAACTTTGATATCCATGAAGACATGATTTACATGACGTCACTAAACGTGTCGTCGGTCGTGACAACTGGCATTTAATCTCCAAAATGGACAAAGTTACAAGTGCAGGAGTGTTAAATGTGACAACTATACCAGGTTATACTTGTGTGTTGGGTTAATTTGTAATTATTTTTAATACTAGCACAAAGCTAGCAACATTTGAATGTTACATATTGGCTTCGATTTTTTCGTGATAAGATCGCATTTTAATTTCACTTTTATTTAAATTGAACTAAAGTTGGAAAAATGTACTTTGCCGGACATTGAAGAGTGAGAGGTGCTCTTCAAACTAGGTAAGACACATAATTTGATTTTATTGAGCGGATATTAGCAAAGTAAATTTCTCCAACTTTAATATAATGGATTATAATAATAATCTTTATTGACAAACATATTATATACACAAAAATTTACAATGGACAACATCCCCTGAACTAGGATATTATACCTGTATTTCAGGAGCTAGTTTTCCTTCCCTATTATTAGTTCTTATTAATATAATTTGTTTATCGATACATATTATATTATATTTAGAAGAATTTCTTAAAACGTAAGTTATGACAAGAAAAATGAGAAAAAGAGTAATAATAATTAAAAATGAATGATTTACCAAACACAAGCATCTCTTTGCTTAAAAGGTGATCTCCAAACCCTGTATCTTACTTAAAGCTTTATGTAATTGAAATAAACAATTTTTTTTATTTTTAATGTTGGCACTGTAACAAAAAGATTTCCGCAAAGTTGAACGCCTGATTCTATTAATTATTTTAAATTGGACGTTTATACGCAAAAAGGCCCCACAGCTCGAAGAACTGAACAACCGATGGGGAAGAATATTTCTCAAGTGGCAGCCTCTTACCCATAAGCAAAGTATAGAGCTGCCTCTAGTGAGTAGAGGGGAGTAAAGACAATGTGGACGGCAGCAAATTCTATAATAATTTTTCATACATTTCTTGTACAATTTAAATTTTGAATTCAAAAATCAATTTCAATTTAATTTTAAAATCATTTTAATCCTCCGATTAACTGTAATTATTCGGGCACTGTTATTTATATTAGTAAAGCACGTAATGACAATGAAACAGTGAGTTGCTTTATCAGTAATGACCACATCCAAAAATTTTAATAATATGTAAAAACTATTGTATTAAAATTAATATTTTACGCGCGTTTTGGCGTTTCATATAAAAATTGAATTCAATTAGATATTTAATAACTAGCCACCTTGTCAGGGTTACTGTCCGACACCGTATAAAATGTGCAGAGTTAAGTTACAACACTACATACCTTTTTAGCCAACTCGGTCGCCAAATCAACGTTCTCCCTCTCTAGGTTCTCTGCTTTTGTTCGTGCAGCAACAAGTTCCTCTTCTTTCGCCAAGAGATGGACGATTTCACCCACGTTGATTTCTAGAGGCGCAATGTCGGGATCATAGACCTATAAGAAAACATTTACTTATAGATTTTACAATCCGACATAGTATTTTATTACAGTAACATAATGTTGCTATGTGGTAGCTATATTATAGAATCTATGACCCCATTTCGTGCTGTGGGTATCGTTAGAAACGGCTATGGGAAAAGCCGAAAAGATTTCATGACCGCCTATAAATGGCAAATTATCTCGTTTTCACCAGACATAATATACCTGCAAAAAATTTGCATGAAAGTGCTCTTCGTACTCGTATTGCTTACGTAATTCTATATTTTTTTATAATTTCGAGCTAAATTTAAAAGGTGCAATGTATTTATGAACAATCTTTTGGTACGTAAAAAGAAAATTAATCGAAAAATCCTACCGAAGTAGGATATCGAAGAAAGCTGAAAATCTCTCAAAAGGTAGTTGCATCGAGTATAATTAAATTGATTAAGGCTTATAGGCTCCAACGGCTCGGTTATCTAGTGAGGACAGGAGAAGATCGCGGTAAGATGAGAGTGTCTGGGGTCAGGCTGACGTTTCAGGTGACGTGATAAACGAAGATCTGAATAAGATTCAAGACAGTAGTAGTGGCCAGCTGTCGTATTTGAGACCAAAATACCTTTTGGGTCGTTGAGCCAGGTAAGTAAGTAGAGTTAATACTCAAAATTCTATGAGTGTGACTGATTTTAATATGTGAAATGAATCACATATTGAAAACAGTGCAAAACGATTAGAAAATAATTGTTTCGTTTAAATAAAATTTTAATGACATTATTATGAAACACAAGCGAAATATGGTTACAATTAGAGTTTGATTTACTCTGCAGCGTGACTTACGACCCGTGAATAAAACTATATCAACTAAGTATTTCTAACTTGGAACGTTTCGAAGGCCCATTTATGCTGTAGGTACAAGATGGTTGTCTGTCAAAATTCTTAATGACCGATAGATCTAGATGTCTGATTGTCTTTTGCAGAAAATAAATATATTGAAAATGAACTTCATGTAAACAGTTATGTACAATTTTTGAATGGTAATTTGCGCGCAATTAATTGCGTTGAATTATTGCTATTTTTGTTACAAGAAATTTGCACAGTGTAAATGGGGTAGTTGCGGTGGCTTGCTTTTACAACGAACGCTGCGATTTCACTGGTGCCTGCGAGAATCAAATTCGGGTTGAGATTTACGGGGAGTACTCAGGTCGTGAGAGACATGATAGTAGCAGAAGCGATGTAAGTGGATGGCACTGGCGCCCGTGTTTGTGATTACCTTGTGCGGGTCGGCGTGGTCGTCGCTGAGGCTGGCGCGGTCGCTGGCGCGGTCGCTGGCGCGGTCGCTGGCGCGGTCGCTGGCGCGGTCGCTGGCGCGGTCGCTGGCGCGGTCGCTGGCGCGGTCGCTGGCGCGGTCGCTGGCGCGGTCGCTGGCGCGGTCGCTGGCGCGGTCGCTGGCGCGGTCGGAGGGCGCGCGGCTGGCGGGCGCGGCCTGCTGCAGCACGAGCTGCTGCGCCACGCGGTCTAGCAGCAGCCAGTGCTGCGCGTGCGGGCTGTACTCCACTGCACACACGCATCACATTTATTCACGTGTATTGCTAGAACTATTAGCCGACAAAAAATTCCAGGAGGAGGATTATCAATTTTTAAAAAAAATCCATCCCTAATATAACTATTTACACGTCACTTGAGCGTCTCTTGATTTCTTACAAAAGGGTGAAAAAAAACTAAACTTTTAAGAAAAAAAGATATAATTTAAAATTCTTAATGAAGGATAGATCAAGTCTATGAGCCATAGGATCCACTTACCGTCAGGTGGACTGTGTACACGTTTATGACCCTTATTCTATATAAAAATACCCAAACTAGCTACGAGGAGCTCACATCTGGTACTGCGACCGTCAGTACTCCTACCAATGCATAACGATTAAAATAAATCCTTTCTACAGTCAGAGCAATCAGAGAGGCTCAGGTATCTTTATCAACCCAAACCAAATACTTCTATGTATAATACTAATCGGGCACTACGGTACTAATGAATTACGCACTAAGTTACCGACAATCCTCCATAACTTCTTTAGTCGACTGCGAGCAGTTGAACAGACGGGTTCTTTGTTTCGTAAATCGCGAATATTGATTTTGACAACCTCACTCTAATTCTGTTTAATTTGACTAAGAAAACACTGTCATTATTTAGGTGCGCACTTTGTCAAGGTAATGAAAATACAATTGCGTGGCATATTTACCAGCTACCCGTCCAGTCGGCACCCATGCGATCCACAGCAGTTACACAATTTTTATTTGAATTGCCGGCCTTGTATTAAAAATAGAAATCTTTATTCCAGATAATAAAGCAATAACAAATGAGAAGGAGCGAAGTGACAAGGGCAAAATATGGTCTAGTATTATACAGAGAAGTATTTGGCCCAGATAACAAAGCAGTAACGAGTGAGAGGGAAAGGAGTAACAAGGACACAAGACGTACGCGGCAGCAGCAGCATGTGTTGCAGCAGCGACAGCAGGTGCGGGTAGGCGGCGGTGTGCGCGAGCTTGCGGCGCAGCAGCTCGAACATGGCGGCCGCACTCTTGCTGTCCACGTGCTGCTTGTCGAAGCGCCGCGCCAGTTCGCGCTCGTCCTCATTGCGCACCATCTCGAAGAATTCGATGTGACGGTCGAGGGTCTCATTTTCGTATTTGCGTAGCTTCTCGATAACTGGAAAGGATAGTTTTGGATTAATAATAACGTCAAGGCTTTAGCCGGTCGTTTTTGAAAGTCTGTTGACGCTTTCTCAACACTGGAAAGGGAAACATTATATAACTTTTTAATACAGTTGCTCAAAAAGTGGCGTATTGCAGAGACGTATAGCGTTCGGGATGTGGGCTATTACATACTCGAGCTTTTTCTTTACCTTTTCCGAACTCGTGCGTTCTCTTTCCCAACTGTCAAAATAATGTCTATTAACAAGAAAAAAGCAACCACGAAGTTTTTACTAAAAAATTTATAGAAGTTTTTATGATTCATGCAAATATTTCTAAAAAGAAGCTACTAATTTGTTTCAACATCAGATTTAATGATTTGATTCAATGAGTTAGGTTAGGTTTCATTTCATTTCATCTCATTAAATTTCATTTTCATTTCATATCACTAAAAAAATTCTACTGAAGACTTGGCTGTATAGGCATAGTTCCCTTTGCCTACCCAGAATGAGTGAAGAAAACAAAAAAATCTCTGCTTATATTCTTTTACGGTTGGCGCCATTTTCCAAAAAATTTTCTTAAATGGCTTCATTATTTCGTTGTTCAGTACGCGTGCAAAACCGTCATTGCAACTTGTTCCGACTGTCAACCCTCACCTTCGGCTGCGCCTCGACTCGGGTAGACATTTGTCGGAACTCTTTGCAATGACAGGCTTTCCGCACTCGTAATGAAATATACTATTTTATTTGAAGTTATACTTCTTTTGAAAAATGATGAGAGATAATTTTTTACAATGCGCGCGCACACCGACACCTAAAAGCGACAACGTCAATTGGTAATTGTTTGTCAACTGTCAAGTTTTCGTGAGAACTGATAACTATATTCAAGGTAGTTAATCAAATATGTATGAATCTATAAAACGTGTTTTATTTTAGTTATTTTTGTTTTGTTACGCTAATGAAGTATAACTTCTTACGTGCGTACATAAGTACACACACACACACACACACGTTTTTTATTCCTATCGTCTAATCTACAAAATCAAAATCTATTCATGCCAAAAGAGTAGTAGTGGACCAGGGACCTGTCCTTTACCTACATTTACATTTGTCTACATTGACCTACATTTTACTACGAAACTTAAAAACGTAAAGCCATTTTTTTAGTAACGTACCACGTTTAGTTTGTTAAGAAAGAATAAATTATAAGGCCTTAAGTGGCTTTGATATAGCTGAAGTAGTTAGGACATTATTAAAATTTATTTCATGCATAGTTAAACACTTTAAACGAATCCGACAAAACAATATTTTCAGATCAGTTGTATTATATGCGCTATAAGTTCTAATATTTTTTTTTTTATAATTTTATCTTTATGGAATTCATTACAGCGACAACTTTTACAAAAAATCACCATAAGTTCTTACCAGGCTGTATTCCCAACATAAGCAGCTCGTATCGCAAATGCAGACGGAACTCAAGACTATCCTCGCCCGGACCATAATTTAACACTGCATTGACGAATGACAATATGGCAGTCTTGAGTCCCAAGTCATCCCGGTACGCGCCCGTGCTGCGGTCCAGTTCGTTCACGATGCCCTGGAAACGGGCACGCTCACCCGCATATTTCTGATAGTGGACCATTGCTTCCAACACCTAAAAAAAAGTTTTCTTTAGTTACGCTAATTTATTATTTGTTTTTAATAACTTATTCGGTTCCTAGTTCATATGCACGTTAATTGTTCCCTATTGGGTTAGTCTCTTCTAAAGGCGAAAGCATTTCAGCAAGTATTTGTCATGATTACGATATGTTCTAGTAAAAAAAGCTAGATCCTGCCTTTTAATGTATTTTTAACAATGGAAAGCATTTCCAAGTGTTTGTCATGATTACGATATGATCTAGTAAAAAAAGCTAGATCCTGCCTTTTAATGTATTTTTAACAATGGAAAGCATTTCCAAGTATTTGTCATGATTACGATATGATCTAGTAAAAAAAGCTAGATCCTGCCTTTTAATGTATTTTTAACAATGGAAAGCATTTCCAAGTGTTTGTCATGATTACGATATGATCTAGTAAAAAAAGCTAGATCCTGCCTTTTAATGTCTTTTTAACAATCGAAAGCATTTCCAAGTGTTTGTCATGATTACGATATGATCTAGTAAAAAAAGCTAGATCCTGCCTTTTAATGTCTTTTTAACAATCGAAAGCATTTCCAAGTGTTTGTCATGATTACGATATGTTCTAGTAAAAAAAGCTAGATCCTGCCTTTTAATGTATTTTTAACAATGGAAAGCATTTCCAAGTGTTTGTCATGATTACGATATGATCTAGTAAAAAAAAGCTAGATCCTGCCTTTTAATGTATTTTTAACAATGGAAAGCATTTCCAAGTGTTTGTCATGATTACGATATGATCTAGTAAAAAAAGCTAGATCCTGCCTTTTAATGTCTTTTTAACAATCGAAAGCATTTCCAAGTGTTTGTCATGATTACGATATGTTCTAGTAAAAAAAGCTAGATCCTGCCTTTTAATGTATTTTTAACAATGGAAAGCATTTCCAAGTGTTTGTCATGATTACGATATGATCTAGTAAAAAAAAGCTAGATCCTGCCTTTTAATGTATTTTTAACAATAGAAAGCATTTCCAAGTGTTTGTCATGATTACGATATGATCTAGTAAAAAAAGCTAGATCCTGCCTTTTAATGACTTTTTAACAATCGAAAGCATTTTCAAGTGTTTGTCATGATTACGATATGATCTAGTAAAAAAAGCTAGATCCTGCCTTTTAATGTATTTTTAACAATGGAAAGCATTTCCAAGTGTTTGTCATGATTACGATATGATCTAGTAAAAAAAGCTAGATCCAGCCTTTTAATGTATTTTTAACAATGGAAAGCATTTCCAAGTGTTTGTCATGATTACGATATGATCTAGTAAAAAAAGCTAGATCCTGCCTTTTAATGACTTTTTAACAATCGAAAGCATTTCCAAGTGTTTGTCATGATTACGATATGATCTAGTAAAAAAAGCTAGATCCTGCCTTTTATTGTCTTTTTAACAAAACAATATCATAATCATGACAAATTCTTGGAAATGGAAAGCATTTCCAAGAATTTGTCATGATTATGATATGATCTATGATATGGTCTTTTTGACAATGAAGTGTTTAAGGCTAGGCGAAAATTTAAGATCTAAACAATTAATTATTAGTGAACATCTCATTTCGAGGAAACCTGTATGCCTTAGACAATGTAAATACTTCGAAGACATGTTGTGAGGTCCGTCAACACGCACACTCGCTTTTCCTGCCCTAAAACCCTGTCTCTCTGACATAAGAGGTGGTCTCTAGCCATAAGTAAAACGTATGTGACTATCACTTTACCTATCCCGTCATCAGTCACCAAAAATGGCTGTTACAAAACTACTCGTAAATCAAAGAACTTAATTGATGAAGATTTTAATAGATATGTTTATCAGTTCAAAGTATACAGTCTTTCTTTCAATTGTATATATTGCTAATAAAATTGTGCAGGCGTTATTACATACAAATTGTCTAATGTATAAAAAAAAACTTGTTTATTGCTATTAATTTACAGACAATTAGAAAAAAAAGAATGATATCAAAAATTACGACATCGACAAAAAATATCCCAAAACGATTTTCATCATAAAAACATTTTTATGTGCATATTCAGCTCTATATAGAGGATAAGGGTGATAAACGGGCACACAGTTCAACTTAATCGTAAGTGGTTGCTGTGACTCATAGACATGATACCACCGTCCTCAATTAAGAATCAAAATGCAGATGCGTTGTCACCCTTGAGGACTAAGATGGAATGCCTCGTTTCCATTAAAAGGTTCTCCGGTTCTCTACACTCACCATCCGAAACACAGCAGCATTAAGCTGCTATTTTACGTTGGTAGGTATTCTGTGAGAGCGTGACCCTTCCCCGGTCGAGGCCACCCATTCGTGCTACAATTATGCCACTAATATAGCTGCAGCTTGGATCTACCACGTACAAAATACTATGTAGTACTACAAAGCAACATTAAAACATTGGTGTCGTCCTTTTACTAATAATGTGTGCGTTACAAATACAAAATATTATGGAACTAAACAGAACATTTAATTTTTCCCTGCTTACCTTTTTATGTCCCCCGGGTACAAGACAAACAGCGCCCAATATCTCGAGAGCTGCAACTTTGGTCTTCACATTCTCCGTGTCCAGAGACTGAGCGATGAGGTCGATGCTCGTAGGGTGTGCCAGCACGTGCGCTCGGCCGGTCTGGAATACAATAGCAATGTTGAACTTAAACTTTAGTACGCAAAAACCACTTTATAAGCCCAATCGCCAGCGCGAGTGCTGATCATATGGTTCCGGGTTCGAATCCCAGGTCGGGTCAAACTCAGTTATTGTATTATCCTGTCAAGAAATTCTCAGCAGCAGTTTGGAGTAAGGTGGTTGCCGGTGTTTCACCCCTTTACCTCGGAAAGCTCCTAAAACCAGTCATTAGTCTTGCGCCTGATCTCTCTCCGGTTTTAGTAGATAGTTATATCAGACTATGAGAGCGAGGGAATAGTGAGTGCACCTGTGCTTGCACACACACTCGTGCACTATAATCCTGTCCAGCGCAGATGGCTAGTTTCCGCTAAGACTGGCCGCAATTCGGTCCGTTGGATATTTATTTATTATTTATTGCATTCTTTAATATAAAAGAATACAAAGGGCGGACTTAATGCGGATCTCATGTCAACCCATGGAGTGGTGAGAATTTACCTATACATTTACTAATATATATATATATATATATATATATATATATACAAATATATAAATACATACATAAACATACATACATTATCAATATAATATATCCAAAATATTATGACGTGTTTCCCTTGTTAACGAACAATGTCTATCTTCACCGATCTATTTAAAAAGTCGATAAATGAATAAAATTAATAAAATTAATATAAAATTTACTTTTGCAAATATTCTAAACCTAGTATGATACTTTTTACAAATATCACCGTGAAATTTTATACAAATAAATGAACAAGAGATTCTTCTTCACACAGTAAATGTAAAGTAAATACACTACTTACGGAGTTGTTCATCAGAGCCTTTATGCCGGCGATGAGATTGTGCCTGGTGACGGCATCATCCCTCGGGGCTCGTTGCAGGGCCTCCAATAAAGACGTGAGACCGCCCTGTTGGATGAAACGAAGTACAAAGCTGTGTGCTCTTGTTCGAAGGGCCGTTTTTAATCCATCAACTAATGCACACGCCTCAGCTGGAGGAACGCCTTCTGATGAGGAAAAAGCCTAGAACAAAAAAATTAACAATAGATTATTAACATAGAGTGCCATTTTTTACTAACTAAATATTGTTCTATTATTTAAACAGTTTCTTAGAATCAGTTCTAAGTTTTCATACGCCATGTGATTGCAGCTTAAAAAAATCTATCGCCCTTTCCCTCCCGTCCTTTCCTATTCAGGTTATTCTTCATAAGACCATGCTCTCGTATGATGCGTGACGCGACTGATTACGCGATAATTGGTACTTTTGTCGCCCATTATTTTTACAGAAGTAATAAAGGTACCTAATAAACGAAGGTACACAGTTAACTATACGTGGATGCTACGTAATAATTTCTTCTATTCTCGATTAAGAATCAAAAAAACATGCGTGAGTGTCGTGGAACACTCGGTTGTAACGAAGTTCTTTATTATTGATAAACTTTTTATATTATTGATTAACAAATACAATAAATGTATTATGTACTAGCGTCTATTAAAATGAAGTGTCAATTTAAATAAAATACACTATGACATTAGGGGTAGTTACGAAAAATTCTTACACTTTTTGTCCCCTAGCACCCATCTGCCAAACCCGTACCGTCCGATAAGGAACTTCGTTCAAAAAAAAAATTAATCTATATAGACTAAGGTGTAATGCCTAGTTACACACTAGGAACAGTAGCATTAACACTTACATCACCGATCTCGTTAAGAGCCTTGATATACTCCTCGACTTGTGGCGCACTCGCGAGCGGAGGTGCTCCTGGTGGTGGCCTCCGGCTGCAGTAGATTTGCCATTTCTTCGCCGCTGGCAGTTCCATCATGGCCGCCTTGTTCACTGCCGTCAGGTCCAGCTCCTCCTACGTAACAAAAATAAAATCATTAAAAAAAATTACAATAACGGAAATTTGTACTATTTCCAATGGGCTTAATAACGCTGCAGTCAACCGTTGCTCACACGGATCAAGTCTAAACAGAAATTAAATGTGCTATTTGATTGAAGCCTATCAAAGACCGAATTGTGGTACAACAGCTCAGAGTACATAGATGTTCCAATGTTACCTGCTAAGCATAAGAATATTTAAAAAATCTTTCAAATGCTGTAGGGCGTAAATATGCCCCCACATTAACGTAGTGTTCTTACATCGTAGGTACTCTTAAAGATATTACAAATCAAAGGCGCGGACTTCAATGGGCTCATTAAGCAATTGCTCACTAAACCAATATAACCAATTTTACCAATGATTGTTTATAACGTTTTAATGACGAACGAGCTAACATGTTCCTCATTAAAACCATCCATTAATCCATCTTAAGATAATGGACATCTGATATTAGCTCCTAACAAATAAAAAGCCAGCGAGTAATTTTCACCCCTGAGGATTTTAATGAAATAACTATACGTATAAATAACTAACTTATACAGTATCTCGTTAACAACTTTTTTATTTAATTGAACTACTTAATAAAACTTCGTACGAACATTCTTTATAATGAAAACGTAGGAAATCACACATTGAAGCTTTTAGACCGGAATCAGAATCCGTTCCGGTCCGTTCCAGCATATCAAAAGTCCACTGCAAAACATAGGCCTCCCCCACAGATAGTCTCATAGCATAATACCCCCTGTATTTTTGCCATAGTTGCCACGATTTGGTATGAGTAGGCAAACAAAGTTTTACTACACATAATTAGTCTATGATCAGACAGTCGCAACCAGTAGAAATTGTTGCCGAAGAATTTTAAAACGTTACCAACAAAAAAATTACTGACAGATTGACAGAATAAGCTGTGAATTTTGTGTGATTTCTAATGTTCATTTTTCAATAGTATCTTGAGTGTATATCAAAAAGCGTTTATTGTATAATTAATTTGTTAGATATCTGTGTTTTGCATATTAATGTGCAGTTGAATGCATAGATAATAAATTATATGTATACAGAGATTTTAAAGTCAAATACAGCTTGCTTAGTATAATATTCAATGAATAACGGTCGAATGTTTATAAATAATCTTTATTAGCTACTTTTCATACATATAGATCTAGGTAAATACAATCTAGTGCGCCTTAACCCGGATTACAAGTCCTTGAGTGTATTCGTCTAAATTCAAAACTTGCGAAATCAACCAAACTGGAAAGTGAGTTAATTGGAAACGGTGTCCAAAACTTACAAAAAATGTAACTCTAGCACTCCTGCACTTCAAAACAAGTCCAAATTTGATGTCCCAATAAGCCGAAGGGCGATCGAGGCTTAAACTAGTGCCATATAAGCGCCTTATATCGGAAATGGTAAGAAATGCGGACACGATGACATTAAAACACGCTGCAAGGTGACGAGCGAACGGAATTAATCCACGACAACATTATCGATATATACAGGATATTATATCAATATAACGTAATACAAAATCTCCATATTTTTCCGAATTGATGAAAAATATTTAGACCTTTACTTTCTTCATTTACTTCATATCCAAGTACGAGTATCGTCACTCGCACTTGTAGTCTATAATTCCAAAGTATTGCTTTAGACAATTTATAAGCCACATCTCTAAATTAGACCTATAATAATGATTTTGATTTCGATCATCAAATCCATTCTAATAATTATAAAAACGATCGGGTGTTGCCAACAACACACAAATATGTTGTACAAATATATTATATCAATAGTATATTTATTTGTGGATATATATACCTAGTCAGGTCATAAGTATTGTCACACGGTAAAAACTTTTCTTTTAGAATGCTGGCCACAAAAAAGTTTATTGAATTCGAATTTCGAATTGTTCATGAAAATAAAACTGTATACTTTTTAGAATTTTACTCATTTTTAAATATGGAGTGGACGCTTAAAGAAGACCGTGTTGCAGTTATTACGTTGCATCGTTGCGGTTACGCGCCAATTCAATTTTTTGACATACTGAAAAATTTGAATATAACCAAAAGATTCGTTTATCGTACCATCAAACGATACAATGAAGAATCTAGTGTAGATGACAGGTCAAGAAGTGGTCGCCCTCGGTCTGTTAGGACTCCAGCAGTGATAAAAGCTGTGAAGGCGCGAATTCAAAGAAATCCCAAACGTAAGCAGAAACTGTTGGCCCTTCAGATGGGGTTAAGCAGAACCACGGTGAAAAGGATGTTAAATCAAGACTTAGGGCATATCGAAGAAAAACAGGACATCGTTTGAATGCTCGTCTAATGGACCTGAGACTGAAGAGATGCCGCGCTTTGTTGAAGCGGTACGCGGGAAAAAATATCGGGAAATTCTTTTTTCGGATGAAAAAATTTTTACCGTAGAAGAGAGCTACAACAAACAAAATGATAAGGTGTACGCACACAGTAGTGAAGAAGCGAGCAACCGTATTCCGCGTGTCCAACAACGCAGAAAAATATCCATTGCTTGAAATATATAGATGACGGTATAAACATCTCGTTTACATCAGACATTAGATATACCGGTGACGGGCAATAGCATCAAAAATGCGAGACAAAATTTGATAGCCAAGAGTGACGATGAAAACAAATACGGCGACGGGTAAGGCCCTGGTCCAACAGTAGACTTTTAAAGCTTGATGAAAGAAAGCAAGAATAAGATTTGTTTGTGTCACTAAATAATAAATGTGTGACAAGACAAGAAAAATATGTCATAAATCCAATATTTTGTGTCGTTTTCTTGAACTCTTTATTATATCTAAGAGTGAAGTTGTAAAGTATAAATCACTATAACGACATTACCTCTTTAATAAATTCCTGTGTTCAATAACACAAACAAATAAACCTGTTACTTGTATAGCCAGCTTTATATGGGCAAAATTAACGACCAATTTGTAATAAAAGCCAATAGACAGCCTATGATTCGAACAGTTTAGCTTGTGGAAAGCTGTTTTGACTGGACCCAAAGAATAAACTGAATTTCTCTAGTTAAAACACGTTTACTGCCACTTTAATAGCAATAAAAAGAAAATTAGTAATTTCAGAACATAGCCTTTGAAAATATATATACATATTTAAGAGACGCCCAAAAGAAATTAAAGGATTTGCATCTTTATGTGGTAGAGCCATGCTGCAACTATATTACTGGTATAGTTGTATCACGAATTGGTCTTCCTTCACGAAAGTGAAGGAAGACACTTTCACAGAATACCAGCGGAAAATAGCAGCTTAACGCTGCTGTGTTTTGTACGGTGAGTGTAGAGAACCGGAGACCCTTTTTACTGGAAACGAGGCATTCCATCTCAGTCCTAACGGATGACAACGCATCTGCATTTTGATTCGTCATCGAGGATAGATATAGATGTCTGTGGGCCACAGCAACCACTTACCATGAAGTGGACTGCGTGGTAGTTTGTCACCCTTGTTCTAAAAAAAAATCCCAGTTTTAAACATCAAGCGCGCCATCGTAAGTCGCTAGGTAAGGGTACTCGTACTTGGTACAAAACCATACAAAATCAACCACTTCGAGTCCCGTAGTTTAACGATCTATGGCAAAGCTGATAAGCAAACTAAAATTAAACTACAACGACATGGGCCTGGTACAGACTATATGTCGAAACCTGCAAAAGTTATCGCTAGGATGTTTTATGAGAACAACACAAATTCTTAAACGTAAGCCTCTTAAAGAACGTTGGGGCTGGCATATTATCTATAAATATAAAAGGCCCAAAAAATAGTTTAGAATAGAATCATTTTTTTTTTCGATATAGATTACAGGAATATTTATTGAAAGTTATTTTTTATTTTACCACTGGTTCGTAAAAAACCTCTGTCCTGGGAACAACCAGCAAGAAACCCAGCTTACTCACCTTAATTGCCCTTTGCCAGGTCTGTCAAAAATATTATTTATATGTTATTAAGGACGATTTCCTCTCCGATGTTAAAAATATTTGTAGGTCAAAAGTACTTGTACCGTGCGGGAGTCGAATCCGCGAACCTAGGCACAAACAAATGCTGAGCCTATTTGCTACCGATCCGTAAAGCTATTGGTATTATCTGGTATAATAATTCATGACACTACACTTATAAAATGTAGGTTAACGTTTAACGATATGGAGTAGAACGTAATACATATCTTAATTTTTATAGAAGAAAAGTAGGCAAACGAGCGATCGGCTCACTTGATGGGAGTGATGCAGAGCAGGTGCGTTTCTGACCTCTTAGAAAAGAATAGGCTCTTTTCTTAAAAATGCCTACGTATCCAATCAACAAACAGTATTATTGAAAATCATCCAAGTTTACAAATAAATAAAAATGATGTGTCCGTTTGTAATCTTAAAATAACAGCTATTAACTAAATACATATTTTTTTTATAGGAGAGGGGGCAAACGTGTATGCGGCTCACCTGATGGTAAGTGACTACCGCTGCCCATGAACAACTGCAACACCAGGGAGGGAATTGCAGATGCGTTGCCGGTCTTTTAAAAAGGAGTACGCTCTTTTCTTGAAGGTCCCTAAGTCGTATCGGTCCGGAAAAATCGCTGATGGTAATCGATTCCACAAGGAAGTCGTGCGAGGAAGAAAACATCTTCTAAATCGCACAGTGGTGGACCGCCAATCATCTAGATAATGTGGATGGTATCGGGAGTTCTGCCGCGATGTGCGTTCGTGAAATTTGGCGGCTGGGATTAATCCGAACAATTCCTCAGAGCACTCCCCATGGTAGATGCGAAAGAAAATGCAAATGGATGCAACATCTCTTCGCAGTGCCATATGAAAGTATATACAGTACTTATAACAATTTTTTTAAGTTTTGCGCGATATCCCAATTTTTTTTTAAATAAAAGTAGCTTATGTTACTCCTTATAACATTAGCTATCTGTCAATTAAAGTCCCGTCAAAACAGCCGTTTCGGAGAT